CGATTTGCCGCTTCTGCGCATGCGCGCAACGCCATTTTGCACGTCTGCGCATGCTCGAGCGGTGAAACCCGGAAGTAACCCTTTTCGGTTCTTCCGGGTCGCTGCAGGACGCAACCTGAAAAAACGTAACATGAAGGAAACGTAACATGAAGTATGACTGTATAAAAACACAAAAATACATACCACAAAGGTAGAGGACCCCTGACATTTAAGTCCAGTCGCGGACGACTGCGGTTGCGGCACTCATCTCGCTTTACAGGCCGAGGGAGCCGGCATTTGTTCGCAGTTTTTCCAGGTTATGTGGCCAGCATGACTAAACCGCTTCTGGCACAACGGGACACCAAAACCAGAGCAGCGCATGGAAATGCCATTTACCTTCCCGCCAGAGTGGTACCTATTTATCTACTTGCACTTTGACGTGCTTTCGAACTGCTAGGTTGGCAGGAGCTGTGACCGAGCAACGGGAGCTCACCCCGTCGCGGGGATTCGAACCGCCGACCTTCTGATCGGCAAGCCCTAGGCTCTGTGGTTTAACCCACAGCGCCACCCGCATCCCGATACATACCATACCATATGTACCATACATACATACCATAATAACAAACAAAAACAACAACCCTCCCACAGGTCAGAAGACCATGTTTAATCAGCCAAAGACCTGGGAGAAGAGGGGTGTTTTTGCCTGGCAACTATAGATCTGTAGTGATGGCGCCAGGTGAAACTCCCAGGGGAGAGCATTCCACAAATGGGGAGCCACCACAGAAAAGGCCCCGTTCTCAGGTTGCCGCTCTCCTGATCTCTTGTGGAAGATGCACTTGAAGAAAGGCCCCAGATGATGATCACAAGATCTGGGACATATGTGGAGAGGCAGTCCTTGAGGTATTTAGCTTCAAGGCTCCACCTCTGAGTCTCAAGACGGTGGTTTCAGAGCATCGGACAACCCCAAACAACTTGATTCCCCGGCGCATGTGAAAAATAACCATCTCAGAGTAGTTCTGAGCCAAACACGCTGTCAGGGGCTCAGGAGCAGAGGCGCAGGGGAGAGAGGGAATGGAGAGCGAAGGGGAAGAATCTGAGGGCAGCGGAGGGCAGAATGACAGTGACCCGAGAGATTCCATAAGCCTCTCCAGTGAATCAGAAGATTCCCAGAAGGGGGCGCCAATGGCCAGGGCAAGGGGGGTCCCAGGGGGGACACACCAGAAGCAGGGGGCCAGCGGAGACTCCCAGAGCAGTAGCTGGAAATCAGGGCCAGCTTCCCCACCGGAGCGTAGTGGGGGGAAGAGTCCCATAGGTCAGAGTCAGCGTCTCCTCCGGCAAGCAGGGAGGAGGAGTCAGACCCAGCTAGCGTCCCCAAAGAGGGGAGCAGCGACAGGAGCAGTATAACGGTCAGAAGGAAGGTGGCAGGCTGGGCACGTGCGCCAAGTTCAAATGTACGGGCGTGCGGGACAGCAGGAAGCCCGGATTGGGAACCAGGTCCTAAAGCCCGCCGGAGGGAGGGGGAAGACTCGGGGGAGTCAGCGTCAGAAGAGTCCAGAAAGGGGAAAACCCCGGCGGACAGGCGGACCCAGAGGAAAAGGGAGCAGAGGAAGAGGTGGAGCAAGGCCAGGGTCTTAAACTGGTGTCTGGGGGGAGGAGACTCAGACGGAGCTTCGGCGGTCTAGGGTTTAAGACGTAGAGCTGTGCGCCGTGGCTGTAAATGAGAAACTGAACTTCAATAAAGACTATTTAATATAACAACGGACTGGCGTTGGTCCTCTGTGAGCTGGGACCTGGGGCAGCTCTGACACACGCGTTTCCTGAGAAGGGAGGAGGAAAAGCAAATGGCTCTCGTTCTGTCAGCGGCCTTTGGGTTCCTACGGAAAATGGCGGAGGGTGACAGATGATCCCATCTGGGGGCCAGAAACTAAAATGACAAATGGTGGTCAGATCAGAAGCACCACGCTGAGCCACCAGATCTTTTCTCCAGACAGCCTGCCGGGAAGTGAAGCAGGGAGGGAGCGAAGGAGGACATTAGATCCAGAGAACAGGCAGGCCGCTTTGTTGTACTCACGTGGATGAGGGCCCGAGGGCCAATTCCCTGTTGGGCAGCCATTTAGGGGCCGCATGCTGGCGATGTGTGGGCCAGAGACAAAAGTGCATTGGGCAATGAATGCAAATTTAACCTTGATATACTTAGTTAGGGACACGGGTGGCGCTGTGGGTTAAACCACAGAGCCTAGGACTTGCTGATCAGAAGGTCAGCGGTTCGAATCCCCGCGATGGGGTGAGCTCCCGTTGCTTGGTCCCAGCTCCTGCCAACCTAGCAGTTTAAAAGCACGAAGTGCAAGTAGATAAATAGGTACCACTCTGGCAGGAAGGTAAACGGCGTTTCCGTGTGTTGCTCTGGTTCGCCAGAAGAGGCTTAGTCATGCCGGCCACATGAACTGGAAGCTGTACGCCGGCTCCCTCGGCCAATAAAGCGAGATGAGCACCGCAACCCCAGAGTCGGCCACGACTGGACCTAATGGTCAGGGGTCCCTTTACCTTTATACTTAGTTATGTTTTCAGTGGTAGCAGCTCATCAGCTGAAGAGGAAGCAGTGGAAAACTGGTCTAGGTTTGACATTGTCCTGGTGGTCAGTGGCACAGCGTGGTTTGCCAGTGCCCGGGGCTTTGTGGAGGGGATGGTGGAAGGGAGGGAAAGGGAGGGAGCACTACCTCAAGGTGCCCGTGTCACCCAGGAGACCGAAACCACAGAGATCATAAAAGAAGAGTCATTCCATTGTCTGGAGAGGTTGCTTCCTGGTTTGCAATGGAGCCCAGGTATGTAATGCAGCTGTATTGAGGCAGCACCAGGTGTGGAAATTTTGCACCCCTAACAATTTTGTGCCTCTAGGGAAACCTCCAAGCATGATCTGAGTGCAAGAGCAACTCTCCCTCTCCTAAAGTTTCCATCAGCTGGAATTCAGAAACATCACCACTTCCAACCTCACAGCCATTAGTCATCCATAAATTTCTCCAATCCCTTTTTTACAGCCGTCCATGTTGGTGGCCATGACAGTTTCCTGTGGGAGGGAGTTCCACAGTTTAACTCTGTGCTGTGTGAAGAAGGACTTTCTTCCTCTGTCCTGAATTTCCCAACATTCAGCGGATGTCTGCAAGTACTAGTGTTATGAGAATAATAATAATAATAATAATAATAATAATAATAATAGATTTTTATTTATACCCCACCCTTCCCAGTTCAGAAAACCGGGCTCAGGGCAGCTATCAACAAATTTAAAACACTTAATTGATGCAATAAAAACAGCATAAAATACAGCATAAAACATGAATAACAATAAATTCAGAATTCAAAAATCAATTTAGGGGGAAAATCCACCCAATAAACATTAGATGATCACCAGGGCTAGCGGGCTAAATTAGTCCTATTTGGGCCAGCGAAGAGACCAGGGGAGAATTAGCTGTGGGATCCTAGAGCGGGGAATCTTCATAAAAAGAGAAGAACTTTCTTTCTTTCTTTCTTTCTTTCTTTCTTTCTTTCTTTCTTTCTTTCTCTCTCTCTCTCTCTCTCTCTCTCTCTCTCTCTCTCTCTCTCTCTCTCTCTCTCTTTCTCCCTGTCTTTCTGCCTTTGTTTCATAAAATGTACACACCTATTAATTGTAAAGAAAAAAAGTCCCAGTGGTTAACAAAAAGATAAAACAGCAAAACCGGGGAAAATTCAAAACTACGCATTAAAACATACTGAAACAAGATTGCAATTATTCCAACTTTCTAAGCATGTGGGTAGACGTGTCTAAACAAGAATGTTTTTATCAGGTGCCAAAGAAATTCCAGTAGGAAGGAACATACTTTATCTCAATAGGCCAGGAGTTCCAAAGCTAAACAATCTGTCCTGAATCTTCCAACATTCTGTGTCCTTGGATGTCCATAAATTCTAGAGTTATGACAGGGGGAGAAATTCCTTTCCCCATCCATGCCATGCCATGTTATAAACTCCTATCATGTCATCTATTGGCGGGAAGGTGAATGGCGTTTCCATGCGCTCTGGCTTCCGTCACAGTGTCCTGTTGTGGCAGAAGCAGTTTAGTCCTGCTGGCCACATTAATAATAATAATAATAATAATAATAATAATAATAATAATATTTTATTTATATCCTGCCCTCCCCAGCCGAAGCCGGGCTCAGAGTGGCCAACAACAGTAAAATAATACAGCATTCTAAAATCAATTCATTATAAAATCAGTTCAAATCAAATTAATGCCAAACCACTGGGCTAGAGTTCTGTGAGGATGACCAAAGGAGGGGGTCACAGGCTGTGCCTTGGCCAAAGGCCTGGTGGAACAGCTCTGTCTTGCAGGCCCTGCAGAAAGATGTCAGGTCCCGCAGGGCCCTAGTCTCTTGTGACAGAGCGTTCCACCAGGTCGGGGACACGTCCGAAAAGGCCCTGGCTCTGGTTGAGGCCAGCCTAACCTCCCTGTGGCCTGGGACCTCCAATATGTTTTTGGAGCTGGAAAGCTGTCTGTGGACAAACGCCAGCTCCCTCGGCCTGAAAACCAAGATGAGCGCTGCACCCCCTAGTCAAATTCGACTGGACTTAACCATCCAGGGGATCCTTTACAATTTAACCCTTTACCATCCCAAGATTCTGCAAACTGCTTTTGCCCACAAATGAAGGCCTTCCTATAAAACCACACTTCTAATTTCACGATTCCCCTTCCTCCAATTACATGAAATCCAAAATAAAATAATGTTCACTACCTTCTTGCCTTTGCTACCCAAACGGGACTGGCAGGTTGTGTAACTTAAAAGGGTGTGGATCTCCTACTTCCCCGTGATTCACTTTGCTCCAACAGAAGCTCCACCTGGGTGTTGCCTAACCTTTCCCCAAATTGTGGCTCATCCCTGGGCCGAGGGCCAGAGAAGACACCCGCGGTTCTTGGCAACTCCCAAAAAAGGGAAGAGAAGAACTTCTTCATTGCGCCGGAGAACGCCAAGGCAGTCACAGGGCGACCGTGGAAGTTGTCAGAAGCAAGGAGGAAGCCATGGCTGAACATCTCTCGGAAGAGCAAATCGCTGAGTTCAAGGAGGCCTTCCTGATCTTCGACAAAGATGGAGATGGTGCCATCACCACAAAGGAGCTGGGCACCGTCATGAGGTCTCTTGGGCAAAACCCAACAGAAGCCGAGCTCAAGGAAATGATCGATAAACTGGATGCTGACGGGAACGGCACTGTGGACTTCCCAGAGTTCCTGTCCTTGATGGCCAGGAAGATCCAGAACTCCGATGGGGAGGAAGAAATCCGGAACGCCTTTCGGGTCTTTGACAAGGACGGGAATGGCTATGTCAGCGCTGCGGAGCTGCGCCACATCATGACCAAGCTTGGTGAGAAGTTGACGGACGAAGAGGTGGAGGACATGATCAAGGAGGCTGACGTGGACGGAGATGGGCAGGTCAACTACGAGGAATTCCTGCGGATCATGTCCGGCAAGTGAAGAGGGGACCTGGGTCTGCATACCCGAGGACAGTGGGACCTCTGGCTATTTCAGTAGACACGTCTTCTTCTCCTTTGCATGGTCTGGGTGAGGTGGTTTGGCTTAGTGGCTGATCAAATATGATTAAATGGATAATGAGCGGTGGAGCATTAATTTGATGAAAGACTCCGGAGTTCCAATGCACTTTTTCCTTTCGCTTTCTCTGTGGCCTAGAGGGATTTGTGGTGCGGCAAATGGGAACTCGTTGCATTCTTGCTACAAAATGAATTTAGAGGAGGCTGCCAACCACAGTCTAGAATGGAGCCAACAGATGGAAGGTAGATTATGATCTACTGGGTGGACTGCAGAAGATGGGCGAGGGGCAACCCAGCCAGATGGGACGGGTACAAATAATATAATGAATATTTCTGATGCCTGGTAGTGTAACATCAGCAAGTGAAAATAAATTTTGCCGTGGCTGGTCTTGTTTTAATTGCTCAACCTCATCTGCAGAATACAAGTATTATTAATTGATTGCTTTTGATCTGTTCTATCTCTCTCTCCCCCCCTCCCCCGATTCCAACACTGCTAACCAATATTAAGAGTTTGGGGCCAGAATAACTGATGTGTCGTATGTCAAATGCAGATTTGCACTTGTAGAATGCAGGTCATTTTGGTGCATGACTCGTGGGTGTGGCTCTGCCCCTGAACCACCATTTTGCACCAGGCTCTGATAGGTGCACCCTGGAGTTTTTGTTAAAACCCCCCCGAAAGAATTCTGATGCCCTTGTTTCCTGTTTCTGTGAAATGGGTACAAGCAATGACTTGGAAAGTTCAGTGGGAAAGTGTTCTTACAAATGGGGAGTACCAGTGTAAGGGGCTGAGGGTTTCGTAAAACTCTTTTATTCCCCCTCCCCAAGCAGAGTAATGTAATGAGTTAAATTTTAATTGCTTAAATGAATAAATAAATAAATTTTCCTGCGTGGGAAGGGGATGAAAGGTTGGCAGTTGGCTTTTGAGCTCAGCTCCCAACTTTTCTGTCACGCTCTAAAGTGACCAAGAAACAGAGCTCAGAGTAAGTCTTTGTGAACAGATGGGATTCCTCAAGAAGAAAGAGAGGAGCTGTCTTTATGGCTGCCGTCCCTCTGACTTCTCTGGTCCGCGGGGTTTGAACAGCCAACGAAAACATCAGGTTCAGCGAGGCTATAAAAAGAGCGTTGTGACATGTATTCAGATGAAATACAATAGAAGGGCTGTGCTATTTATAGTGGCTTGCAAGCTTTTGTCCTTTGCGGTCTGCGCTGAACTCTGACGGCATCAGATATTAAACGCTCGTTTGCTTGCTCAAGGAAGAATAAAAGGGAAAGGAAAGAAGGAGTGCGTCACACGGACATGTTTTCCAAGTATACATTGAAAAGGCTGGTGATAAAGATCGCCGAATCTGGCTCCCTACCCACAAGTGAGGGGTGGGAAGTGAGTAAACCAGATTGGCTGAAATCCGGTTTCTGCTCTGACCGTGTTTCCAGGGCCCCCCCAAATTCCTTGGAAACTTAGCAGACAGAGAGTCATCAGCACTCAGAAGATGTCCCTTGTGATACATCGTTGTAGGAGAATCACAGAATTATAGTCCAAACCTCTGCAGAAATACAGTGGTACCTCGGGGTACAGACGCTTCAGGTTACAGGCGCTTCAGGTTACAGACTCCGCTAACCTAGAAATAGTCCCTTGGGTTAAGAACTTTGCCTCAGGATGAGAACAGCAGGAGGCCCCATTAGCTAAAGTGGTGCTTCAGGTTAAGAACAGTTTCAGGTTAAGAACGGACCTCCGGAACGAATTAAGTTCTTAACCCGAGGTACCACTGTAATTATTATTATTATTATTATTATTATTATTATTATTATTATTATTATTATTATTTATACCCCACCCTCCCCAGCCAAGGCCGGGCTCAGGGCGGCTAACAAGCAATAATAAAAACAAGTTAAATGAATACAATTTAAAAACAACATTAAAATACAACATTAAAATATTGAAACATTAAAGTATTAAAATGCAGCCTCATCGCAGGAGGGGAAAGGAAAAAGAAAGAGAGGGAGGGAGGGAATCAAATTGGCTCCAAGCCAAAGGCCAGGCGGAACAACTCTGTCTTACAGCTCCTGCGGAAAGAAATCAGATCCTGCAGGGCCCTGGTCTCATGAGACAGAGCGTTCCATCAGGCCGGGGCCAGAGTTGAAAAGGCCCTGGCTCTGGTTGAGGCTAATCTGACTTCCTTTTTTTTTTTTTTAATAAATTTTTTATTGCGTTCCTTTCCATAACTTCAAACAATCCAAACACCACAAAAACATTAAATGCAAGAAACAATTTTTTCTTTTCTTTTACATTCAAAAACAAATTAAAGATCAAACCAAAAAAGGTATATAAACCATTCCATGTTTGGACTTCCCCACACCCTCCGGAACTGCATTCTTTATAGTTTAATACTGTCAGCAATTTGTTACCTTGTTTCATACCTTATTGTAACTTTCAATTTGTTATGCATCCAAATTCAATATATTGTACCTTAATTTCAATGCTTTTTAAAAATAAACATAACATGATTCAATTTAAATTGTCTCCTTTTCTTTTTTACCACTTATTTTAACATTTACTTAATCCTGTTTGCCAAAGCATAGTATTTCTAAATCATGCACTGACTTAAGATTCATACAGCTTATGATGTTTTTGCAAATAGTCTTTAAATTTTCTCCAGTCTCCCTCGATTATTTCTTCATCCAAATCTCGGATTCTGCCAGTCAGCTCAGCTAATTCCATGTAGTCCATCAACTGCGACTGCCAATCCTCCAGCGTGGGTAAATCTTGTGTCTTCCAGTTCTTTGCGATGAGTATTCTTGCTGCTGTAGTTGCATACATAAACAAAGTTCTATCCTTCTTTGACATTTTCTGGTCCACCATACCCAGCAGGAAGGCCTCAGGTTTCTTAGAAAAGGTATACCTAAATACCTTTTTTAATTCATTATGTATCATTTCCCAGAAGGCCTTCACTTTTGGGCAGGTCCACCAGAGGTGGAAAAATGTCCCTTCTGCCTCCTTACATTTCCAACATTTGTTGTCGGACAGGTGATATATTTTAGCTAGCTTGACTGGGGTCATGTACCACCGGTATACCATTTTCATAATGTTTTCCTTCAAGGCAATACATGCCGTGAACTTCATTCCGGTGTTCCATAACCTTTCCCAGTCTTCAAACATTATGTTATGTCCAACATCCTGTGCCCATTTTATCATGGCAGATTTAACTACCTCATCCTGTGTATTCCATTTAAGCAGCAAGTTATACATTCTCGATAAAGTCTTAGTCTTTGGTTCTAACAATTCTGTCTCTAGTTTCGATTTTTCCACCTGGAAACCCACCTTTTTATCCATTTTAAAAACCTCTTGAATTTGAGCATAATGTAACCAGTCTCGCACCTTATTTTTTAATTTGTCCTGGCTCTGCAGCTTCCAATTGTCTCCAATACTTTCTATTAATTCCCAATATTTCGGCCAGTAGGCCTCCATATTGAGTCTTTTTCGGGCCTTGGCCTCCACCGGTGATAGCCACCTCGGTGTTTTGCACTCTAATAAGTCTTTATATTTCATCCAGACTGCAAAAATTGCTTTTCTGACAATGTGGTTTTTGAACAATTTATGGGCCTTAGCCTTGTCATACCATAGATATGCATGCCAACCAAAAGCATTATCAAAACCTTCCAGATCTAGGACATCAGTATTTTCCAGCAAAAACCAGTCTTTCAACCAGCAGAAGGCTGCAGCTTCATAATACAACCTTAAGTCCGGCAGGGCAAACCCCCCTCTTTCTTTTGAGTCAGTTAGTATTTTGAACTTTATTCGGGGCTTTTTGCCCTGCCAGACAAACCTAGATATGTCCTTCTGCCACTTTCCAAAACATTCCACTCTGTCCACGATCTGCAAGGTTTGAAACAAGAACAACATTTTCGGCAATACATTCATTTTTATAGCCGCAATTCTTCCCAACAAGGACAGTTTCAATCTTGACCAAATTTCTAAATCTTTTTTAACTTCCAGCCAACATTTCTCATAATTATCTTTAAATAAATTCAAATTTTTGGAAGACAAATTAATCCCTAGATATTTCACTTTTTTGACCACATTTAATTCTGTTTCTCTCTGAAATCCCTCTGTTTCTGTAGGTGTCAAATTCTTAGTCAGAACCTTAGTTTTTTGTTTATTCAGTTTAAACCCCGCCACTCGACCAAACTCAGATATAAGTTCAAGAGCTCTTTTTGTACTGGGTTCTGGCTCCTGCAATGTCAAAACTAAGTCATCTGCAAAAGCTTTCAGTTTGTATTGTTTCACTCCGACCTCTATCCCTTGTACCCTCCGGTCCTCCCTTATCATGTTCAATAGCACCTCCAGGACTGAAATGAACAAAAGAGGGGATAGAGGGCACCCCTGTCGTGTCCCTTTTTCAATTTTGAATTCCTCCGACACCACATTATTCACTATTAGTTTAGCTTTCTGCTCAGAATAAATTGCTTGTATTCCATTTTCAAACCCCCGTCCCACTCCCATCCCTTCCAAATTTTTCTTCATAAACAACCAAGATATATTGTCAAATGCTTTCTCCGCATCAATAAAAATTAACACGGCCCTTGTGTTCCTGTTAGTTTGCAAAAGCTCCAAAATATCAATGATGTTCCTGGTATTCTCATATAAATGTCTACCAGGGAGAAAGCCAGCTTGATCTTTATGAATTACTTCATTTAAAACCTTTTTAAGTCTGCTTGCCAAAATGTCAGCAAATATTTTGTAATCCACATTTAAGAGTGAGATGGGACGGTAGTTCTTAAGTTGGTTCTTTTCCGTTTCCACTTTCGGAATCAATGTGATGAAGGCTTCTTTCCACGACTCCGGTGTCTTCTTCCCCTCCATAATCTGGTTGCAAACCTCTAACAGAGGTTGTATCAAATAGTCCTTCAAAGTCTTATAATATTTAGAGGTAAGTCCATCCGGGCCTGGAGATTTGCCTAGTTGCATATTCTGAATGGCTCCTTCGATTTCCTGTGAGGTTATTGTTGAATTCAAGATTGATCTTTTATCTTGGGTTATCTTTGGTAATCCATTTGTCTTTAAAAATTGGTCTATCTCAGATTCTTTCTGAGGCCCTTGTGCGTAGAGTTCTTTAAAGTATCTGTGGAAGCACTTCCTAATTTCTTCTGGTTTCTGCACCATTTTTCCCTCAATCTCTAGATTTGTAACTGTATTTAGCTTCTGTCTTTTCTTCAACTGCCAAGCAAGCAGTTTTCCACACTTATTTGCTGATTCAAATGATCTTTGTTTCATCTGTTTGATTTTCCATTCAATCTCTTGATTTATCAGTTTAGAATATTGTGCTTGATGGAATTTAATTTCTCTCAGCACCTCCTTTGACTTTGGTTTGGTTCTCAGTTTTTTCTCTCCTTGATGTATCTTCTCTAATATTTTATCCTTCTTTCCATTCCAGAGCTTTTTCTTGATTGTGTTTTGTTGAATCAGAAACCCTCTCATAACAGCTTTACTTGCGTCCCAGATCGTTCTTTTTTCTACTGTAGTATTCAAATTTATCTCGAAGTAGTCCTTTAACGTTTTTTGGGCCTTTTTCACAATCTCTTGATCTCTTAGTAAGGCGTCATTCATTCTCCATCTGAAGGAACCGGGTTGAGTTAGTCTAAGTTCTACTTTCAAGGCATTGTGGTCGGAGCATGTTCTTGGGCAGATTTCCACCTTTCTAGTCTTAGGTGCCAGCCCTCTAGACGTCCAGATTTGGTCGATCCGTGTCCAAGACAGGTGGACCTCAGAGAAGAAGGTTCCTTCTTTACCTAGGGGGTTCTTTGTCCTCCATATGTCGATCAAGTCCAGATTCTCAGTCAGTTCAAAAAAAGTTTTGGGCAGTCTGCCATCTGATGTTAAATTTTGACTTTGAGACTTATCCATATGTGTAGACACCACTCCATTCATGTCACCCATCATTATGATGTTGTTGTAGTCTATAAAGTCCAGCATAATCTCATGCAGCTTCTTGAAAAATTCTGATTTCCCATCGTTTGGCGCATATATTCCTACAATCAAAAATTTCTCTCCTTGTGTCTGAATTTCAATCGCCAGAATTCTTCCTTGTTCATCTTTAAATACAAATTTTGGTGCCAGGCTCTCCTTGGCATAAATCACCACGCCTCTTTTCTTGACCTTGTCTGATGAGATGAATTCTTGGCCTAGTCTTTTGTTAACTAGAACCTTCCTGTGGAGCCTGGTCACATGGGTTTCTTGTAAACAAATAATGTCCAATTGTTCTTTCTTGAGTATGTGAAATATTTTCCTTCTTTTTTCCGGGGAATTTCCGCCATTTATATTCCAACTAAATAGCTGCAGAGACATCCTGTACTATTTTGTTGCACCTAGAGTGGTGTGTCTTCCTTGTCCTGTAGTTCCGAGGGTATTGGGCCTTTTCCACCTCCAGGCGGTAACTCAGGTTGTGGTAGAGGCCAATGGGCTGCTGCTTCTTTTTGAAGATCTTCTCCGTGCTCGTGCAGGAACTTTTGTGAGTCCTCTGGTGTTCTTATCTTTACCTTCTTCTGCTTGTAGGTAAAAGATATTCCTTGCGGGAACTCCCACCTATAG